AAAATGAAGTAATATCAATACTAAACATGTGTGCCAAGTGGTATAGCATCCAAATTTCTAAAGAAGTTAAATGAATTACAGGAAGAAATAGATAGCAAAACTATACTAATGGGGGACCTCAACCTTCCCCTCTCAGAACTAGATAAATCTAACCACAAAATAAACAAGAAAGAAGTTAAGGAGGTGAATAGAATTTTGGAAAAGTTAAACATAATAGACCTCAGGAGAAAACTGAATGGGGACAGGAAGGAATACACCTTTTTCTCAGTGGTACGTGGCACCTATACAAAAACTGACTATGTATTAGGGCATAAAAACCTCACAATCCAATGCACAAAAACAAAAATATTAAATGCATCCTTTTTAGATCATGATACAATAAACATTACATGTAATAAAGGGCCATAGAAACATAGATTAAAAATTAATTGGAAAGGGCAACTAGGTGGCACAGTGCATAGAGCACCAGCCCTGGATTCAGGAGGACCTGAGTTCAAATCAAGCCTCAGACACATAACACTCACTAGCTGTGTGACCCTGGGCAAGTCACTTAACCCCCACTGCCTAAATTTTAAAAAAAATTTAATTGGAAACTAAATAATTCTAAAGAATGGGTAGATCAAACAACAAATCATAGAAACAATCAATAATTTCATCAGAGAGAATGACAATCATAAGACAATATACCAAAACTTATGGGATACAGCCAAAGCCGTAGTACATAGGGGAAATTTTACATCTCTAAATGCTCACATGAATAAAATAGGAAAAGAACAAATCAATGAATTGGGCATGCAACTAAGGAACTAATCAAAAATCTCCAATTAAACACCTAAGTAGAAATCTTGAAAATCAAAGAAGAGATTAATAAAATTGAAAGTAAGAAAACTATTGAACTAATAAATAAAACTAAGAGCTGATTTTATGGGGGAAAAAACCAATAAAACAAATAAACCTTTGGTTAATTTGATTTAAAAAAAGAAAGAAAACTAAATTAACAGTATCAAAAATGAAAAGGGTGAATTCACCACCAATGAAGAGGAAATTAAAGCAATAACTTGGAACTATTTTGCCCAATAGTATGCCAATAAATCTGACCACCTAAGTGAAATAGATACAAAAATATAAATTGCCCAGACTAACAGAAGAGGAAATACAATACTTAAATAACGTCATTTTAGAAAAAGAAATTGAAGAAGCCATCAATGAACTGCCTAAGAAAAAATCCCCAGGGCCAGACAGATTTACAAACATTTAAAGAACCATTAATTCCAATACTGTATAAACTATTTGGGAAAATAGGTGAAGGAATCCTACCAAACTCCTTTTATGACACAAATATGGTGTTGATACCTACGTCAAGAAGAGCTAAAACAGAGAAAGAAAATCATAGACCAATTTCCTTAAAGAATATTGATACAAAAATTTTAAGTAAACTATTAGCAAGGAAATTACAGCAATCTATCACCAGGATAATGCACTATGACCAGGTGGGATTTATACCAGGAATGCAGTTCTGGTTCAGTATTAGAAAAACTATCAATATTACTGACCACATTGATAACAAAATAAATAGAAATCATATGATTATCCGAATAGATGCAGAAAAAGCTCTTGACAAAATACTGCACCTATTCTTAATAAAAACAGTAGAGAACATTAGAATAAATGGATCTGTCCTTAAAATGGTAAGTAGTATCTATCTGAAACTATTAGAAAGCATTATATGTAACGGGGATAAGCTAGAAGCCTTTCCAATAAGATGAGAGATGAAACAAAGATACCCATCATATCATCACTATTATTCAAAAACATACTAGAAATGTTAGCTTTAGAAATAAGAAAAAGAAACTGAAGGAATTAAAATAGGCAATGAGGAAACAAAACTACCACTCTTTGCAGATATGATGGTATATTTAGAGAATCCTAGAGAAGCAACTAAAAAACTACCTGAAATAATTAACAACATTAGCTAAGTTGTGGGATACAAAATAAACCCACATAAATCACCAGCATTTCTATATATTACCAACAAAGCCCAGCAACAAGAGACAGAAAGAGAAGTTTCATTTAAAATAACTTTAAACAATATAAAATATTTGGGAATCTACCTGCCAAGACAAACCTAGGAACTATATGAACACAATTACAAAACACTTTTCATATAAATAAAGTCAGATCTAAACAACTCGAAAAATATCAATTGCTCATGGGTAGACTGAGTTAAGATAATCAAAATGAGGACTAAAATGAAGTAAGGCTGCAAATGTAGGTAGAAGCTGGACTGTAGAAAGCATTCAATGTCAAGCTAAGGAATTTGTATTTTATCCAAAAGGCTGCAGCAGGGAAGCAAGGAAGGTTTCTGGACAAGGAAGTAACTCAATCAAATTTAATCAACAGGAAGATTTGGCAGCTGTCTGGAAAACATATTTGAGAAGAGAGAAGTTGGAAGCAGGACGACTAATGAGGAAGCTACAATCACAGTGAGGGCAAGAAGTGATGACAGTGCTAAGGCAGTGGCTGTATTAGGAGAAAGGACCTGTGAAAGTTTTTAGAGAGGCTGAATGGATAAGATTTGACAAATGGTTGGATATTGAGGGGATAAGAGAGAGAGGGAAGAGTGAAAGATGACTAAGATTATGAACCTGAGGGCCCAGAAAGATGGCTGTACATGAAGGGCAGGTTAGGGGAGATGATGAGAAGGAGTCAGTGAATCCTGTTTTGGACCCAACATATCTGTACATGAGATGTATGAGAGACATCCAAAAGGAGATAGCCAGCTGACAGCTGATAAAGTGTAATGAGAGTTCAGGAGAGAAATCACAGCTGGAGGTATTGCTTTGGGAGTCATCTGTGTAGAAGGAATACCTGAACCTCATGAGATTTTACAATATCAAAAAAGCTAAGAAGAGGATCCAGAATAGAGACCTATGGAACACCTGTGCCAACCAAGGTGGCAAGAGATGGACGGTGACCCAGAAAAGGAAAATATGAGAAGGAATGTTGTTGTGACAAGTAGTTAGGATAACAGTCACAGAAGTCGAAAGGACAGAGTAGGGGCAGCTAGGTGGCGCAGTGGATAGAGTACCAGCCCTGAAGTCAGGAGGACCTGAGTTCAAATCCAGCCTCAGACCAAACACTTGACATGTACTAGCTGCGTGACCCTGGGCAAGTCCCTTAACCCCAACTGCCAAAAAAATTTTTTTTTAAAAAAGGACAAAGTATTCAAGAGGAGGGACTGGTCAACAGTATCTAAAACTGCAATGCAGTCAAGGAAAGTGATGTATCATTATCTACCTGACAAAGGAGCTGGGGAATGAAGAAAATGAAAGCTAAAGATCAGATATCAAGGTTAAGGAATATCTGAAATTACAATATTAGAGTAACTATGATTCAATTTAGTTACAGTCAACTAGCATTTATTAAGTTCCTACTACATTATGGGTTCCATGTTAAGCACTGAGGATGCAAAGAAAGGCAAAAGACAGTCCCAGCTCTCAAGGAGCTCACAGTCTATTGGAGGAGACAGCATGCAAACAACTATGTACAAAAAAGATAACCACGATATGCTGAAGATAGTCAAGAGAGAGAAGGCACTAAGGTTAAGGGGGATTGGGAAAGGTTTCTTGCATAAAGAAGGCAGGACTTTAGCCGAGACCTGAAGAAAGCCATGCGACAGAGAAGAGGAAGAACAGAGTTCCAGGCAAAAGGCCAGTGAAAAAAACACTCACAGCTGGGAGATGAAATGTCAGGTGCGAGGAACAGCCAGAAGGCCAGTGTCACTAGATCCAAGAATATGTGGTGAGGAATAAGGTGTGAGAAGACTAGAAAGTGGGGTGGGGGGTGGGGGTGGAGGGACCAGGTATAGGTATAAGACTGGAAAGGCAGGGAAAAAATTATTCACACACCTTTTTAGGAAATCAATTAAAGTGTAAATTGAGATATGCTCTCATATAGTCCAAACTATATAACTATAAACTGGACACAAGCTAAGAACAATTAGTGCTAATATGAAAAAAAGGCTAATAATAGTGTGGAGTTACCCAGTTTAATGTTAAAGGAAGAATGAAGTTACATTTCCTAGTTGTGACCTTGGACAAGTCACTTCTTTCTCTGCACATACCTCACAGGGATATGGTAAGAGGAGGACCATCTCATAGACTGTGTAGGACAATAGAAAGTACAGTGGAATTAGAAGGCAAGAGAACCAGGTTCTAATCTCAGCACTGCTCTTCACAAATCAGGGAAATTCTCTGGACCTGAGTTTCCTCACTGGCAAAACGAAGGAGTTCACCTCTAACAGTCTATAAATCCTATTACATGCTTAATATGAAGTATAAAACACGGATCCATGGAAAGATTCTTCCCCAAACTGAAACACAACTGATATAAGGTGAAACATGATGTACACAATGACTCTGGCAATGTAAAAGGGAAGAACAACACAACAAATGAAAGTGAATGCTGAGAGACTGAAACAACCAACCCATGCTCCAAAGGAAACCTACAAGAAGGTACCTGCCCATCTTCTTGGCAGAGATGGGGGATTACGCATGGGGAACTGCTGCACATAACATCGGATTTTTCCATGTGTGGGTTGGTTCTGCTAGACCTGGTTTTTTTTCCTCTTTTTTATTCTTTGTTATCAGGGATGGTTCTCTGGGACAGGAAGGGACATGTCAGGAAATACAGGTGATATAAAAAGATATCAAAATTTTATTTTTTAAAAAAGTCTTTCCTTTTCAGGTAGATCCAATAAATGCCAGCTACAAACCAATTGTGATAACTATACAAATTTTTATACCCGACATTCCACAATTTAAATCTTCAAATTTCTCTCTGTTAAGCATTCTAAAAGCAAAGCTTGTATTTAGCTGAGTCTAGTCACTCCACAATCACACATAATTAAAGACTCCTCTCCCTATAATCCATTTTCAGGCAGTATACCTTAATTGTATTTATATATTCCCTAAGAAAATAGGGCGTAACTCCAAACTTACCTGACTAGGTCTCCGTGGAGCTGTAAATAAAGGCTTTCCTTTCCCTGTCCAGCACATATCTCGGATGCTGGTGTCTCTACCGTGCAAAGGACCAGGTGTAAATCAGAAGAGGATGAGGTGACAGCGCTGGCCACGGAGGCAGTGGCAGTGGCAGTAGCTGTTTCTGCTCCATAGAGGTAGACACAGCCTCTCTTCACATCCTCTTTCAGCCAGTTTCTCTCACGGGAGCTGAACCTACTTCTCCTGTGCAAACAGTGTCTGCTTCCACTGCGCTTCATGTTTCTCTAAGGGGTACAAAGAGCAATTACTGGCTAGGATAGCCAACCTCTCAATCAAATGATATTTGGTTGTTTACATAGTCACCTGTACGACCGCATTATCCTTACTACCTGTTCAATGCCTTTACCTTCCTCCCCAACCCACTTTCACACTCCCTCGCTAGAGGCAACATCACGCCACAGAACCAATGACCCCCTCTTTGTATGATTCTCCCTAAACCCACAATGCTCTAAAAAGAATACTTTTCATACCAAAGAAAACACATGGATCTCGGGATCTACTATAAATACCAGTGACACTTAGAAGCACTTGCTACCAATCACATATGGCCTAAGTGCTACCACAAATAAACTGAAGAGCTGTCTACACAGTCTTGCTGTCCCCGTTCCCCGCCCCCCCCCATTCCCAGAGGGTGAGCCCATCATACATTTCTAAAGATTAGTAAATGCCTGTTGTTTGATCTATGCCTGTCCTGTCTCATCTTACACAGGAAGAAAATCCAATTGATCGTCCATGGAATGGACATACTACTGGAAGAAATAAATCCTATCTATCTTGACAATCTTACTCTAAATTAAACACAACAAGAAAGCTGCAGCTACTTGCACTGAGGGCTCACAGGTGCTGCTTCAAGCTTATGCATCCAAGGGCAACAAGAAACATTTCAGGGAACGTTTTGTCATCTCATATTGCATTGCTCAGGATAACGCTGGCAAGGAGAACAGCATAAAAATAATTTCTGCTTAAGCATCAACACTCATCTGAAAAGGATGAGAAGGAAATAAGCATTTATTAAGCATCTACTACGTGTCAGGCACCGTGTTAAGTTCTCTACGAACTATATTTCACCTGACCTACACAGCAACCCTGAGAGGTAGGTGCTATTATTATTACCCTCATTTCACAGATGAAGAAATTGAGGCAAAGGTTAAATGACTTGTCCAGGGTCACATAGCCAGTAAGTGTCTGAAATGGAGGTCCTCCTGGCTCGAGTCCCACTGCTCTAGCTGCCTAAGTAAATAAAGTCTACCAAAAGAAACGGATAAGCCCCTCCAAATTAAGTTAACATACACTTTTAATACTTAAAAACTTTCATGAAAAGGTTGGGAACGGGAGAGGATGGTGAAAAAATGAGTCAGAAAATGTGATTCAGAGCAAAGGCTCTACTATAGATAGAAGTCTCATTTCTATATATTGTGATTATTTTCTTCAAAATGTCTGGAGATACTGGACGTAGTGAATACCAAATGACATTATAAAGAATGAAACTTAATTTTAACAAACAGGAAAAAGATTTATTACCATGGGGCAGTGATTTCCAAATGAGCTGTCTGTGCACATACCACACACTTGTTCAATACAAAGTTAAAAGAAAGACTAAAATGAGAAGAGAAGGTGAGCAATAAAGGTAACCATGATCTGATCTATCAATCAACAAGCAGTTAAGCACCTATTTCATGTTATACTGAGGATATAGCAAAGCTCAACAGTCCCTGTCCTCTAGGTGCTTACAATCCTATTGGAGGAAAATAATATGCACATAGTTAAGTTCATACAGAATACAAAGGGCTATACTGGGGGGGAGGGGGAGGAAAGAATTGGGAAAGGCCTGACTGATCACAGGAGGTGACACATAAACTGAGCTTAGAAGAATCTGAGATGTTCTGAGAGGCAGAGATGAGGAGAGGTAGTGCGCTGTGGCCCTGTAAGCAGGCAAACAAAAGGGAGGTAGTACGCCGTGAATGCAGAACAGCTTTTGTCCATTTTGCATTTTTAACTGTCACTGATACAGAATGAAATGCCTTGGAATACAGCGACTGACTGCACAAATCAATCACCGTAACGGTGACACCAAATGACTTTATCTTTCAAGGGGAGAAAGATGACAGCAAAGACAACGACTTAAACTACAACTCATCTATAAAATCTTCAAGAAGAGGAGAGCAGAAATTTAAGAGTGGTATCACCTCAAAGCAGAAGCAGTGGAGGATAGAACCGTTTATAGAAAGCTGGGCGAGAGACAACTAAGACAAGTCATCCCGAGAGCGTTTAAGGATGAAATCAGACAGCAGATGAGAAATGGAGATCTATAAACACTTTTATAATTAACTCTTTTCATTATAAATAACGGTGGAGTCTCCTACCACATTTGGACTGTCCATGCCATAGTCCTACCTTAAATTGAATAAGGAAGGAAGAATGATACTGAAGAAACAAAGATGAAAAGAGGCGAATATAAAGAGAGGAGGTCTGTGACGGAGGCAATGAAATTTTGAGGGCACTGCGTAACTAAATTCTCATGATACAGGAAAGAAGAGAGAGGCTTGGAAAAAATACGGACTTCTTTTTAAAAAAAAAAGAGAGAGACTATCAAAAAACAATCCGTCTTCTCTCCCACCTCTACATGATCTGTGATCGTAATTTATACCTGCATTCATGGGCATTCTTCGTGAAAGTCTGTGAGGGAAACAAGCAGGCTTTTACAGCCAACGTACAGAAGATCATATCTTAGTCATGCAACTGACTGAAAGTTGTACAGAGCACAAAAGCCTACGGTGCTTTTGCTTACCGTCTGTCAATTATTTAAAAGTATTTGATTCAACAGAACAAAACACCACCTTGAATGGTCTCCCTCCAACAAGGTTCTGTCCACCTGGGAAAATCAAAACAGCACAAGTTTCTGGGAATGACACAACAGAGAACTCGCTTGATGGTCTCAGCTTATTAGATATTAAATAAGCAAAATAGGCAGTTTATACAAATAGGGAAGTGAGGAGGCACAGGAGGAAGTTGTCACTTGAATTTCATTTTTATACTTTCACATGAACTAGTCAAAAGAGGGTGAACACTCACATACACATGTCTGGAGTAGTAATACATTCAAATCAACAATGCAACAGGAGACAACAAGGAGAGGGGAGAAGAGGAGCAAAGAGGAAAGGAAGATTCGGGGAGGGAGAAATTAGTCATAAGCAAAAAAACTCAAAAACCTCGGAAGATGAGTCAAGAAGAGGGGTAGGGGAGCAAAAGGAGACCAAACCACCACTAAGCACTGGGGGCTGAGCACACCCCACTCTCAACACCTTCCTTCTTTGTAAAGAGGGGAGGGAAAGAGTGGGAAAAGTATGAGAGAACAGGATGGACAGAAATACACAATTAACCACCATAACTGTCAAAGTGAATGGGATAAACTCACCAATAAAACAGAAGAGGAGAGCAGGCTGGTTTAGAAAGCAAAATCCAACAATCAATATGTTGTTTGCAAGAAACATACTTAAAATGTAAAGATTCCAACAGAGTTGAAATAAGGAGACCAGAGAAAAATCTATCACACTATAGCAGAACTCAAAAAAAAAAAAATCTGAAGCATCCATCATGATCTCAGACAAAACCAAAACCAAAATAGACTAACATGGAAACTCATTATATGCTAAAAGAAACCAGACACTGAACATAAAGTGGGAAACCTAAATGTACCCCTTTCACACACTGACAAGTTTAACCAAAAAATAAAGAATGGAAGAACTTGAACAGAATTTTATAAAAGTTAGATATGAAAGATCTCTGGCAATTACTAAATGGAAACAGAAAGAGTATGCACGTTTTGCAGTCCTCAGGTACATTACAAAAACTGTCCGCGTGTTAGAGCATAAAAACCTCACAAATGCATAAAAGTAGAAATAATAAATACATATTTTACTGATCACAATGCAACAGAATTTATATTTTAAAAGGGCCATTGAAGAAAATATTGGAAATTTAACTTAATCCTAATTAACTTAATGCTAGAGAATATAGGGAGTCAAAGAACAAATCAGAGAAACAGAGAAAACAACAAGAAGATAACATCTCTGGACAACAGCCAAAGGATCAACAAAAGAAAGAACACACTGATTTGTTGGTATTCAACTAAAAAGACTAGAAAACAAATTTTAAGTCTCCATTTAAAAACCAAAATGGAAATGATGAAGATCAATGACAAGATTAACGAAACTGAGTGTAAAAAATAGTAATAATAAAACTAGGAGCTGGTTTTTAAAAATACAATAAAACAGATAAGCCATTGGGTAACTTAATTTAAAAAGAGTATTACTAGGATCAAAAATTAAAAGAGAAATCACAAGAAATGAGGAAAATATTTTACCCAACTATATACAAATAAAACAGGTAACAAATGAAATGAAGATTTATGAAAATACAAAATTTTTAGACTAAATGAATAATTTAAATAACGCAGACTGAGAAAAAGAAATAGAACAAGCCATAAATGAACTCCCAAAGAAAGAAAATTTTAGGACTATTCAAACAGTCCAACAGAAAACTACACCACACCTAATGAGAAATTCACAAGTCCCCTGGGAAGGTGGGCAAGGGAGAGTTCTACCAAAGTTGGAGCTGTTAGTAACCCTTCTGTCACATGCTCTCTCTCTAAGCATTTCACCTGAACCCAGTGTGTATTTGTGCGAAAGTGTGTCTCCCACTTTGGGGGACTGTATATATTAAATGTTCTTATTATACAAGTTTACTATATGCTTGGAAAAGGTAATTAAGTTTGGTCAACTGACATGGACTCTGCCTGCCAGTGCAAAATGAATGCTTGGAAGACTAAGTCTAAAATGGGTGCTTCAATTGTATGGGATGAACAATCTTCTATGATCTACATCACTGAAGGGCGTAGCCTCATCAATAAACTAAAGAAGTTAATAAGAAATCTTTTAGAATCTTAGCTCTAGTACCTAAGAAAAACAGACTTGGTGACATATCCGTATTTGGGAAAGGGAAGGGAGGAGTAAAATATTATTATATTGCATTATATAGCTTAATGTATTATAACAGCCATGGGGTGGGGAACCTTTGGCTTCCAGGCCACATGTGGCCCTCTAGGCCCTCAAGTGTGGCCCTTTGAGGGGCAGCTAGGTGGACCAGCCCTGAAGTCAGGAGGACCTGAATTCAAATCCAGCCTCAGACCAAACACTTGACACTTACTGGGCAAGTCACTTAACCC